TATATATGTGCATGTGTGTCTTATTTTTTCTTGTAAGCCCGTGTGTTAGGGTGCATGACACATAAATAAATATCTAATATAATCTAGCAACACAAGTGACAAGCTTCCAAAAAGTACTATGCAAGAGTCAAGTATACTCATGTTGAACTAAAATAAGAGTATATACTTTCAGTTTACTTTTTATGTATTTAGAGATATAGGTTTATGCTACCTGTACTTGACTTATACTAAAAATATACTAAAAAATATTTGGTACATAATAGGGAAATATATAAGTATATTTTGTTACATACTTGAGTTAGGGGTGGGCGTATCAATCTAAATATCGATACTATCGAAACCATGATGAGTATTGTTATCTTACAGATACAGTGATGAGATTGTTTCCTTTGTCTGCACTATGGACTTTAATTTTCACTAGTCGAGTCTCTAAATTATTTGGAGTTATAATCCTTATCGTGTTCATGTACAATGAAAGGTATTTTTTTGTTGTGTTGACATTGCTATTTTTATGTTTTTTTTTTGTTACATTGGTGCTTTTTTATTTTGCAAGTGACTTTTTAATTAAACAGTTGTGTGTAGGGAAATGTTGGCCTATTATTATTTTTAAACTGTTACATTGTGTAATTTTGTTGTCCAGTGTTTGATCATAATCGAGCAACTAGAAAAATCACAACTATTCAATGAACATGGCAAGTCCTACATCAATGATACTAACCCTGATTGCTATCGGATCTAAAATAGTTTCGCCCATCCCTTTGAGGTATGTTTCTTTTTGGTGACGTGAATAATAGGCTACTTCAAGCACATGCCACTTAGGTATCGCATATTTACACAAGTAGGGCCACTTTTATTTACCAAGTAGGCTACACTTTTAGTAGCCTATATTTTTTTATTGTAAGCCAAATGTGTAACATCTCTAATGAGTAGGCTGCTTTTAGTTTGAACTTATATAGGCTACTTAAGGACACTATTTTTGGTAAGGGTAAGAAATTAACGAATCAAAAACAAGTACAGCTGTCTTTGAGTCATCTTGATTGGTTAAAAAAGGAGCTTTTTTAGCAGCTGGTTGGTGAACACTGTTGTTTCCTGTGTAATATTTTGCTGACGTTTGAATCTTCCGCCTTCACGTGCCTGCCCCTGTTCAAAAACCGGAAGTAGTGTTGTTGTTGCACCACAGCTGCTGTCATGTGATAGCCCTGTCTGAGGAGCTCCTCTGTACAGTGGCTTCGGAGGCTAAAGTAACGCCAGGCGCGCAGGATAAACAGAGAGAGCTTTATGTTTGTTGTGGAAGAAGAACACGGCTCGTTTGTGAAGGAGAGCAGGGAAGCCGGGGTTGTGTAGCTTGACCCCCTCGGACGTTGCAGCCATGGGTTGCTGCTACAGTGGCGAGGACAACAACTCAGGAGAGGTAGCTACTAGTTGCTAGTTGGTGACAAATTGTAACTGTTTATATTTTAAAGAAAAAATGCACTACTGCTATTTCACCTTCTTTGTGATGTTTATTGAACGAGACGAGTTATACGTGTCCCTGTTATCAGGTGTCCCTGTTATCGAGGGTTTTTTTAAAGGACAGCTAATGTAGCATTGTTAGCTTGTTAGCCTGCTGTTAGGCCTGCACTAAAGACAGCCCTTTGAGATAGCACAGGTCAAAAACAGCTTAAAAACAGAAACCCTGTGGTCAGAGTGAAGTCTTCAGGGAATATTTGTGCATATATATTTTACTGTCGTGTTAATCTTTAGCGGGACACGGCCATTCGTTCCCAAATCTGCAACAAATGGAAAACAGTCAATTATTTACTTGGCTTAACGATCAGTTGTCCTGCATTCCAATGGGAAAAATGATGATTGATACTTTAAATGTGTCATGAGATCGTGACTGTCTCCTGCTGTTTTTAGTTTAAGGAAATAAGTCTGTACTTATCTGAAACAGGAAATATTTACTCAGTTTTTTTTCTTTATAGTAGGATAAAAATAAAACTATTGTCAAAAATATCTGATTTCTCCTTGATTATTTTCCCCTGTTTAGACAGACAAATAAATGAGGATTACTAAGTCAAACTTTAGTTTAGTATACAGCCCTTTTCTTTTTCTGCAGACGTATCTTTTAGTCCTGTTTCTTGTGCTTGCTTGTTTTAATATACACCGTCTTTGTCAGCCTAGTTAAGTGCTTTAAAAGCATAGTATGCTAAATAAAAAGAAATATTACTGTGTTATTTGCTTTATATTTAGAAAAAAGAAGAAATTCATAAAATATGATCTGGTTTCAACCCTATTATTATTATTATTATTATTATTATTATTATTATTATTTGCTATTATTGTTATTATTCTTATTGTTATTGTGGCTGGCACAGAATTTGTTCCAGTCAAACATGAAATCATAACTAAAGTTGTGTTTGAATTACACAGAGCTAATGATAACGGTGCAGAATTTTTTTGTACGTTTTGATTTGTCATTGATTATTTCTTCAGCAAACAAACAGGCAACAAGAGTCATGTGAGATACGTGTTGTTGAAAAACACGTCAACTGATGTGCAGAACTATCGAAGTTTCTTTTTACCTAGCATTTTCAGTTTTATGTGTAATAGAAAAAAGGGAAAAACATATGATGGTGCTTTGCTAATTGAGATTTTGTGGACAATTTGATAAATAAAACAATCTTGTCTTTCAATTTTGTTCCTGCCTCTGCTCTAGAAGAGCAGTGAGACAGATCCGCTGATCCCACCGCCAAACCCTACCAGCAAGCCTCCAAATGGGACAGACTGGATCACCACCAATGTCCCGTCAGCACGGACGGATGAGCAGGCCCTCCTTAATTCAATCATCACCAAGACTGCACAGTGAGATGCTTTACGATGTGGCTGTGGAGTATAATCACTTATGTACTCATATTGAAACCCTGTTTAAATTTCTTTTTTTTAATTTTTGTTGTCCTTCAGGAATATCATCGATGTGTCAGCAGCTGATTCGGTTGTGATGGAGCAACACGAATACATGGACAAAGCTAGGCAATACAGGCATGTAGATGTTTGTTACAGATGTGTTATTTAGCTCTTGTATAAAAAGAATGGGAGTCATAGGACACAAAGAAGTTGTATTATAAGATAGAAAAAGGTAACTTGACCATGCAGGTTTTTGGTAAGATTTAGGATATGTTGGAGTCATATAATAACATTTAAGTCAAGGGGGAAAATGAACATGTTAAATAATTTCAACACCAAACCCAGCAGTTGGAGGAGGATGTGAGGGAGGTGATTGAGTCAGAAAATTACAACAACTCTGACAGTTCCTCTTAATCTTTATCCCCAGCTTTGCTGACATCTAGTGAGGGTTGATTGATTACACTAACCCAGTGTTTTTCCAACCCTGGTCTTCAAGGCACACTGCCCTGCATGTTTTAGATGTTTCTCTGCTTCAACACAGCTGATTTCAATTGTTAACTAATTGCAGTTCAACAAAAGCCTGTTAATCATTTGAATCAGGTGTGTCGAAGCAGGGAAACCTCACTAACCAGTTGAGCAGCTGTGTTTAGACAGAGATGCAGGCGTAGGTTCTTAAAGGGATCCATGATTAGTTGTAATATTAGACTTTATTTGATAAACATATATTTTAACTGTAAAATAAAGAC